ATCTATGTGATCGACATCAAACGACAGGTCTTCTACTACTTTCTGTACCTTATCACGCCATGCATGCTGGTATCGTTGTTGACAACAGTGCTGTTTGTGCTTCCACCTGCAAGCGGGGAGTTGATGGTTGTGGGGGTAACGCTTCTGCTGTCACTGACAGTTTTCTTCTTACTGGCGTCTACCCATATTCCAGAAACGTCTGAAGTTGTTCCACTAATCGGGAGGTAAGGTGGAAAATTTCACTAATATAAAGAATCAGCTAAACTAGGAATGAATGATTGACATGCAGCCATGAAACGTTTTTGCTTCAAAATTTAGTTGTCATTATGACAACCACTTCAACAAACCTTGCAAAATAGGGTTTCAAAACGTGTAGCGTATATAATAATGATTTGCCCTCTAGCTAGCATAAGTTCTAAAAACATAGTACGCATATCTTTTAAAGATTAATATTTCAAACATCACAAATGTTTTAGACCAGAAAAAGCGTAGTCACTCAGCAATAAGAAAATGTTGTAATGCAAATCAAAGAAAATGTAGTGGTGGGGACTCATGGGCGTTATGTGGAATTAAAGTGCCTATGACGCCTGACAAAAAAAAATCTGATTCTCTGTAAGCTGATTTTATATAAAGTAAATAATTGAATGGCGAAATATTTCTGCATTTCATTGTTGCGTCTTTGAGTTTTGAAGGTTTAATCTTCCAATATGTTAATGATAATGACGTCAAGGGAGGCTTCATTAAATATACGAACTTTGAAACAGTCGCTAAAAAATGTTTTCATGAACGCCATCTGGTAATATGGTTATTCCCTACATTGCATACGATAAATTTACTGCCTTGAAACCATTTTAAGCGACTACTGTAAAGGTCGTATATCTAATGAAGCCTTCTTTGACGTCATTTTTATTAACATATTGTAAGGTTGAACCTTCATAACTCAAAGACGCAACACTGAAATGTAGGAATATTTCGCCATTCGATTATTTATTTTATATAGAATCAGCTCACAAAGAATCAGAATTTTTTTTTCAGGCGTCATAGGCACTTTAACTAAGTGATCATGAAAAGTAAATTTTTACTTGTCTAAGCATCAATCTTTTTAAGGAAGAATTAGGCTGCACAGCTTGTGTTTATAACCATCGCATGCAAACTTCAAGAGTCATTCTTACAACTTAACTACAACTGCTGGAGGGATTAAAGACAATTAATAATAGCCCTACAACAGCTGTGGCCATGTTGCAAGGATGAATTATGCACGTTGCATACGATGGTTGTCGACGAAGGTTGTCTAATCGGTCTTAACTGTGGCTAGCACTTAGAGTCCATCTAATCGTCTGTTCRATACAGGTATTACTCGCTGACAATCATTCAGATTTCATGCTGTCTGGTTCTCTCTTGTTTTGTCCTACGAATGCACCAGGCCTCATTTGGTTCCGTGTCACCCTGGTATAGAGTAAGTACAATAGAAACAGAAATAATCATCCGAGCATCCGCACAATTTGGTAGATCATCGTCCAATAATTTCAAGATGGAAACCGCATTGCCCAATCTAAAGCTAAAATTGAGAATGYATTCAGACCTTTCATATGTCTATATTGTACTGTGGATTCATCACCTTAATGACTGTGCATTTTATTTGCAGAGGTTCGTGTTCAGATACCTAGCAAAAGTTGTCCGCATTAATGTACCAAAGGAATTCCTTCAAATTGACGAAAAAGGTTTGACATGTCACAAGATAATAGTTCTTATGCATTAAACGGTCACTTTGTACTAAATCTGCGATACTGGATGGCAAAAAAATGTAAACAAACTCAAAAACAAAAGAAACGCGGCCCCTCGAGATTGACTTTTTTTTGTTTTTAAAATCCCTATGGAACGTTTTGCCCTCTATAGTTTTGCGGATTTGGTACCATGTGACCGTTAAATGTAAAGGGCCTATCAATCATATCATGATTCCTGCTCCTTTGATTCAGTGGTATATCCAGATTTATAGATACAACGCAGTCRCAGGATTATAACTGGATAGCTTTTATAGGGTCTTTCTGTAGATGCCAAATCTCTATTTTGAAATCCTGAATTTTTGGCATTTTTTGGGAATTGCTAAGGTTCTTTTGCGTAGTTTTGACATTTTGTTTCTATTGAATTACACAATCTTTTCTGTTGCTATCACAAAATGCATGATTTTCATCTCATTTCACTGTATACTTCCAAACCTTAAACTTACCCAAAACCTTTTGTATTTTAGAAACAACTTCACAATCTGATGAGAATCCTTCAAGCTCTCCAAATGGACTTCAAATGCTTGCTGAACGTTTTACTCAAAAGGAAAAGAGCGATAAAAGGCAAAGTGAGTGGCAGCTGGCCGCGAAGATCTTCAACAAGCTATTTTTGTTTCTATACATGTTGACTGTTTTGRTGTCGTTGTCCGGAGTGTARTTGACTATTCCACAACTTTTRGAKCGAGAATCGGGTTACTCATTTTCAAATTTTGATGATTTTAAAAGTAAGAATTCCATGACYAAAGAAAGACTCGAATCTCATTGAGATAAATTGAAACTTTCTCATCTACATCATTRAGCTGCATTCACCAAAAAWGGTCGAACCTTTTCCTTTCTAAATTCCAAGCTGATCAATGAATAAAAAAAGCAAGCAAGTYAGGKAAACTGTCAGGAGGAGCCGACGGGGTCTGTTCTTGTACGAATTGCTTCCTGGGTAAGCGAATGATTTGATCATTTAACTTTTACATTACACAGCAACATGACGCACGCTAATCAGACCCGAACAATAGCGAATTTGGACCACAACCAGTAATTTCATTAAAAAAAATCAATAGATATTATATAAATTTGCACGTTAGTCCAATTGCATTAGTCAATTGAAACCCCATGACTGGGGAACTCGAGTATTTTAAGTTTAAACTTTAAATGTTAAAGTATTTTAACTAGTCCGCACGTAATTTCTCACGCTTTCCCTTGGATAAATATTGGCTGCTAAAACAGTTCAACAAGATGTCTGCATTAATTACATTTATAAATGAAACTAGAAATCGTAATAACTGCACAGCAGTTAAAAAATTTTAATGCATTGTTTACAATTCTATAATTAAATGTGTACGTAGTATACCCCTTCGAAACATGTCATCCCTTTTATGGAGGGGTTTATATCTAGGTTTACACTCTAAGTTAAACTAAGTTACCCGCATTTATAAAGATTATGAGCACCCARATTACGAATAAAACATTATCTTGAATGAGTTATCCATCCTTGTCATTCCAGCTTAAGGCGGTGCTGAAATCACAAATACACAATGAATTTCAATTTGAGAAGGGCATGTATCCATTTTTTGACCTCGCCATATCTAGCCTATCCTCGATACTTTCGCATATCATTCGAACTAGTCAAAATTTTTATTTTCATTATTATTTGTTGTTGCCCAAATRCTGGTGGACAATCTATATGGAAATATAACTAGTTCAACGACAGTTTCTGTGGCTCTCATCACATTGTGAATGTGAAAGTGGCAATTTTGGCAAATTAKAAAATTTCATATTATTTTTGTTTGTTTCAAACACACTTCATCCGTGCCCTTGCTGAACTTTGGCGCTGCATTTATAAGCTACATACTGTAACATTATATAAGTATTGAAAATGTTATCTAATAATCTATATATTACTGTATAATTTATGATTAATATGATAAAACTGTACATGATTTAATGTAAATGACTTACGCAGTTTGAAGAAATCGAGAATCATCCTGGTCTGGTCGCATCCGCCCCAGTAGCCGAGGAAGCTTCCCTCGGAAGGGTAGTAGTTATAGGGATGGACACATGCTTTGGTGTTTAGGTTTTGAAGTGATTTTGATGGCAGCCTGAAAAAGGTATGAATTCGTGTATTACAAGGAACATTTCTCTAGACAAAGATAATTACAAGAAGTTTCTTTTAAAATACATATATTTCGAACGACATCCATCGTCCATCATCAGTGTATTGACTTGACTACGTTAACATCTTTGTCTATAAAATCTTAGCCCAGTCTTCCAACATCTTCAACATGTCTCTAYGTATAAAATGTAGCTATGTTGTAGTACCTTCTATGTTTTGCCACGTCCTTCGGGCAATCATCTAACAACAGCAAACCAGAACCCCCTTTAGGAGTATTAGCTAGGAATAATAGGCAAATGTCAAAAACTGATCAGATTCAAGAGCTCATTCTTCTATCAGTCACTAATAAATGAACCAACGACTCCATTAGCCGACCAACCAATAAACCAATGAATCGATAAATTATTCAATCAATCAATTAATCAGTCGATCAATCGATCTCCAATCAATTAGTATGCCTGCTAATAAGCTATCTGATCAAACATTGAGATGTAAATCTGTCAGTCAGTAAAACAGCCAAGTCAACTATCACTAATCATGTCATCGGCTATTAATGTTTTGCTAGAAAGRCTGTTAAACAGCTTGTCAATATAGCAATACCCCAAGGACAGACGATTTTTCCGCTGCATTTGTGATGTATAATCCCTTCGCTGTCGAACAAAAACTGCATGTAATCCTTCGAGCAATTAGCCTCACGCGGTCCAAAGACAAGAGCAAGACCACCCTGTCCTGGATTACAGTCCMCACTCTTTGGCTGAACACAGTACCCACCATAGCTTCGAATGGGACTTTCTAAAAGTAGAAATCAAAACTGATCTTACTTCTTGTTGGTAATAACTTCGAATATGTTTTTTTAAGATGTATAAAAAGTGGCTCTTATWAAAATGGAAACGAAATAGATGTGCCATTTGAGTAAACATTTAACAAAATGCAGCTCAAGAATTACTGAATGTTGAATTTTTTTGCGATCCTGAGCTAGCAGTTGCAAATCTGATTTTGCAGGCAAAAGCAAGCGTATTCTCTATATCGATTTTTTTGCTCGATTTTTATTTTTTATTTTTTGCGAGCGAACCGAGCAATCCACACAATCTGCAATTACTCTAGAGTGGGACCATTCAATACCACAAGTCTATTGACATTTACCTGGACAGGAGGAACAACCTCGTTCTTCAAAAAGGTTTTCAGATTTTATTTGACAATGTCTTCCTCCACATCTTGGTGCTGGGCTGCTGCAAGTCTTATACCTTCTCTGTTTTCCTTCACTAGAACATAACTTGTCGCATTTCGACCATGCGCTCCATTCAGACAATTGTCCATTGACTAAAATAGATAAAAARATCATGTGATTTATGAAGCTTTACATTTCCTTCCTTATTGCATTACAATAATCCAGTACCCATTCAAACCTGATTTTGGATTGCTCCTTTTGATATTACCTCTATTGTTAAATTGGTTTTGTTTCCTTGCAGCATCTTTTGTTGTCGATGTTTTCAACATATCACGAGATTCGTTTCAGTATGACAAAAATGCTAAAAAACCTCAATATTCGCCCTAATGTTAAGTAATTAGATCTTGATGCAAAATTAAATTCCTTTACCTGGTAACCTATCAGCATCACAATCGTCCTCATTAACCCAGTACCATATTACCCCAGGATCCATCATACCCCCATATCGTGTCCAATACGCTGGGTAGTAAGGTGGATTCATATCAGTTCCCCAAATAATAGATCCTGCTGGGTATGAAGTGGAACTGCTAGATGTAGTTAA